TATATATATATATATATATATTTTTCTGAGGTTCTCGCGGGTATTTGTATGTGGATCTTTGGTTGTTCGGGTTTTCTCCCGCGTAAGATTCGAAGTATCTAGGCAACGTTTCGATGAAGTCTCATTCATCATCTTCAGGCTTCTGTCTCCGGCTCTGTGCTTCTCAGAGTGATGTGAGATTGCAGCTGCTTCTTCCTTTTAACTGCTAGTGGGGGTGGGACTTGAGCCAAACAGCAAGATCACAGCTCACCAACTCAAATCCCCCAGCAACTAAGACTAACCCGAGCACAACCAAGCCCCCACCTGAACAGAACACGCCTCCAGCCAATCAGAACACGGCCAACCCCCCAACCAATCAGAACACAGCCAAACCCCCTACCAATGAGAACACACCCCCACCCAATCAGAACACAGCCAAGCCCCCACCCAATCAAGTCCCACCCCCACTAGCAGTTAAAAGGAAGAAGCAGCTGCAATCTCACATCACTCTGAGAAGCACAGAGCCGGAGACAGAAGCCTGAAGATGATGAATGAGACTTCATCGAAACGTTGCCTAGATACTTCGAATCTTACGCGGGAGAAAACCTGAACAACCAAAGATATATATATATATATATATAATAGATATAATATAAAATATTGCATGACGGCATCAAAACTCTACAATTCCTTCCCTCTCTCTACATGGACAGCTTTTTCTTTACTATTTTTTAAAGAAACAACTCAAAATATATTTTTACTCATTAGATTTTCTTTTAGAGAAATCATGCCTATCTGAGAGTATATGACATATAAATGAACTAATTAAATGCTGCATTAGGGACAGGTGTTACAAAGATATGATGTTATCAATTCACTATGGCACAAATAATTCAAACAAGTAATAGAATAAAGAAGACAATCACATTGTTTTCACACTGTAAATATCAAAGTACAAACAAGGTAAAGCCAATGAAGGAGTGGTCCTGTCATTTATGGTATATTCTATGGGGCAATGTGATCACTACAAAGCCAGGGCATTTACAAGGGAACAATAGTTCTTTCTATTTGTTCATAAAAACAGCAAAACCTAACCTAGCCAGTTTTTTAAATCAGAGTTTTTGTTTTAAATAGTACCTGGGTTTCTGCACAGTAATTTTTTTCCTGCAAATTAAACTATTCTAAAGAACTCACACGGACTTCCGGTTTGAGCTTCTTCAGCGACAGACCGAAACCTCGTCTCTGTGAGGCTTTCTTCCGTGCTCGCCGCTGGAGAGCCCCAAGCCGGCTGGTTTCGGGGCTAAGCCATCCCGTAGAGGTGGTGAAGAGGGGGGGAGACTGCCAGGAGCCGCATCTCTCCTCCCCAGCTGGCCATTACTCCCTTTCCCAAAGGCGATTTCAGCAGTGGTCAGAAATGGCCACCACAAAGAAGAACTTGACCAGAAAAGAATGTGCAGGAGGAAGATAAGAAGAGAAAGTTTTGGTTGACCGGGTCAAACAGCAAAAGCAACAAATAAGGTACCCTGGAATTGAAACTGTTAAAAAACAATAACATTGTTCCCTAAGAAGATTTTTAAGCTGCGAAGGAGAGAGAAAAAGGAAAAGGTTTGGTTTTCTCCTTTTCCTATACTGACAGCTAAGAGACTTAAGCAAGAAATTGGAAAAAAATCCACTTTGACATCAATAGGCATTTAATGCTAAAAAATAAAAAGTCAAAGGGATGATAAAGATTTCTGGATAATTAAAAGCTTTTGAAAACAGGAAAGGAGAGAGGAAGAATAAAAGGGCAGGATCTGGAAGGGAGGAGACTGCCTGGAATAAAAAAAGAACTTACAGCAAAATCTCAACAAGACTTCCAAAAGATACATTCTAACTGAAATATTGCAACAAAAACCGCAGGAAGAGAAAGTCGAAAAAGAAATAAGAAGATATAACTCGGGACTATCTGGATTACTTGATGATTTCTGGATTGTTGGTTATTGGTTTGAATGACTAAAATCAATCAGGTGGTTGTTTAAAACTTTTTAAAATGGCTCCACTTTTAGAAGAACTGAAAATGGAACTTAAAAAGTACAAAGAAGGGAGAGGTTCTTTTGGCTTCGTATTTCAGTTTTTAGAAATGGAGATTTGGAATTATAAGAAACAACAAGAAATGCCTGCAGAACAAGAAGATTGCGACAAAGAAGAAGCCATCTTTAATGAACAAGTAATCTTAGATGGGGGGAAAAAGGAAAGGGGAGAAAGAGAATGGAAAGTTTAAGATTGGGAAAAACAACTCAAAAAAAAAATAGAGTGAAAAATAAGTATAAAATCAGAAAGCAACAGAAGAGGGAATTATAACTAGAGAAACAAGGGGGTAAAAGGGGGAGGGAGAAGATGAGAGGGAAGAAAGAAAGGAAAAGAAGTTATAAAGGACAGAAGCAAAATATAGAGAAACAGGGTCTATTTAGAGATAATGGGTGAAAACTTAATGGAAAAAAGGATTCTGCAAAGGTACATAAGATAGTATGGTTATATTAGAAGCAGAAATAATTTTAGAAAATATGAAACAATGTATGATTAAAACGTCTGATAAAATAGCTATCGTAATTCAGTGGAATGCTTGTCAATAAATAAAAGTAACAAAAGGTATATTTAATGATTTATAAAACATATGTGAAGAGAAATAAGGGAAAAATTAATTATAGAGATTATATGTGTTTTTAAGGAAGTATGATACTTAATTGAAAAGAAGTGTTAAAGATGTCATGGTTTTAATGATTATTAATGATAGAACTGAACTGGAATGGAATGAGGGTTTATAATTACATATATTTACAATCTTTCTTTTTTTTTAAAGAATATAGTGTGTATTATAAGAATGTGCCAAGCAGAATTCGATTGGAAGTTATGTATTATGTATTATATTGAAGGTCATAAACTTAAGCTATATATTGAAGTTTAAATAAGAGTTGAATGGATGTAATTAAAAGATATAAAGGTGTCATACTCCAGTTAGTAACTACAGGAGAAAATTTGTTTAATGAGAAAAGATAATATGAAATTGAAACAGAACAGACAAAAGTATAAATATAATGATTTGAATTGAGATGAGATAATCAAAATAAAATAGAGAAAATTAAAAGAGGGGAAAAACTATACAGAAAATGTAAAATAGTATAAGATATGGAATAGAATACAAAAAGGAGCATGGAATTGAGTTTTGTGTCTGTATAAAGAAGTTCAACCCGGGACCATGCTATTTTCAAAAAGGATGTTTTACTTGTATTTTGTGTGTGAAAACCCAAATAAAATTTATTAAAAAAAAAAGAACTCACACAAGATGCTTTGGGGGCAGAACATTTTAAAAACTGGTTTATCATTTTCAAATATGGAATTTAATATATATCTTGTGCATTTATTTAACTTATAAACATTTCTGCAATATTTTCATTTGTTTTTTTCAAGACTCTGCTGTCTCACCTTCTGTTCAATTTCTTCATAATCATCTTGGTAACTTCCATAGATTGTGTTGGATGGAGATGAAAATGTTGGACCCTGAGAATAGTATTGAGAACTTCTATAGCCATCTCTCCGAAGTTTGTCACATTCTGTAAGTGGTGGAAGAAATATAAGTAAAAGATACCATTAACTGTTGTTGATTTACACATAAATTTCAAACAAGAAGTACAAATAATTCCAAGGAGAACTTAATCATCTTTAACTAGATTTATACTCTTTAATAATTGAAAAGAAGAAAATATGGCTAATTGATGTGGCAATGTCAAGAGATAGAAGAATTGAAGATCACAAAGTATCAAAATCAGAAAACCGAAGTTGAAAGTTTATGGCATAAACTGACTGTGGTGGTCCCAGTCCATAAACTGGCTATGGTGGTACCATACAAAAAAAGCCTCTAGATGGCACTTAGAAAATCTATTTATTGATAATATTTCCATCTGTCAATTACAAAAGGCCACACTGCTTGGATTCTCACATATTATACTAATACCATTATAGTTTAAATTTGTATTACAAAACTCACACTGCCTGACCAAATGACATTTAAGATGCCTATGAACATGAAATAATTTAGCTCTTTAAAACAGCAGTCACCAACCGGTGGGCTGTGGCCCACTGGTTGGCCATGAGAAAATTTTGGTAGGCCACAGAGAAATCTCACCCCCAGAGCACCCCATAAAGCAATTAATCCAGGTTGCACAGAAACACAAGGCTGCGCCACCCACATGGCCCGCGGTAACCCTCCCCGCCCACTCATTCCTTACCCGGCAAACTTGCCTGCTAAATTGCTATTTTTCCTTTTTCTGACCATCATCTGTTCTGTTGTGCCGGGAGATTTGGATTAGGTAGGAAGCAGGAAATGGTTGGATTTCTTGCTTTCTGGCTAGTCTTTAGAACTTCGGCTCTGCTTTTAAGCACAACCAAACATCCCTTAGAACTAAAGGTTCTGTTATTCAGTGCAGACTCACAGCAAACAAATTTGAGAGACTGAGCTAGCTGATGGCAGATAGATAGATCACTGAATGATTCTGTGAGCAATTCAATCTGCCTGCCTGCTTTGCCTGATTTTGGGTAAAAGTTGCTCTTTTTTATAAAAAAAAAAATCAATATTTACATACATGGTGTGTTGTGAGTTAATTTTGTGAGTTTGCTTACAAGCAAATTTTATGTGACAGACTGAGCTAGCTGATGGCAGATAGATAGATCTCTGAATGAATTTGCGATTCTGTGAGCAATTCAACTGCCTGCCTGCTTTGCCTGATTTTGGGTAAAAAAAATCAATATTTAAATCAATATTTATAATATTTAAGTACAAGCCATGCCCAGCCAGTCACATGACCACCAAGCCACACCCACAAATTAGGCCACACCCACAGAACCGGTTAGTGGTCCCTGGGATTTCAAATTATGAGTTTGGTGGTCCCTGATATCCAAAAGGTTAGCGATTCCTGATTTAAAGATATATGGGATCATTCAAATGAACTAGAAACTTCTATTGCGTTTGATTAAAAGTTATCAGAGCTACATTGTTAATACAGAAGTAAAATACAGAAGTATCTGCAAAGTTTGCCACAGTGCAGGGTTTGCACTTTTTGTACATATGTTGCAACTTATTAAAATCCTACAGGGGAAAAACTTATGGCATACAAAAAAAGCTCCTAGTTCCCACATAATATTTATCAATGATGATTAAAAACAGTATTTTTTTCTCTCTCTCTCTACACATACACACACACACACACACACACACACACACACACACACACACACCTAGTATAAAATTCTAACCCAATCAAATTTGAAATTTTTCTAATCTCAGTCTGGTTTCTCTATTCTTTCACAAAAGCAGCCAAGCAAGCAGGATTTAAAGAATAGCAAATTCAAATATGCTGTAAGTCAATTCCTTGAAACATAAAACTGTTTTCACTGAGACCAGCGACTGAATTCCATCTGAGAAAGATGTTAATTGCAATCTTCTGAACAGAGTAGAATGGCAAGCTTTGCAATTAAATTAAATGTGCAGGATTATGCCAGATAACCAAGCTTGGTTGTTTTCTCATCATCTCCTGAATTCATCATGTTACATAGTTACTTATCTCACTTACATAATGCAGGAAACTCAAAACTTTAGCAAATGGAGCCTGCCTTTGTTAACAAAGAGCATACTGCAAGCAGCAAAGAATACATTGGCAGAATCTTTTATAACATAGATTATAAAGATTATGCAATTCTGAAAGCCGCCTATAGAACTGTAAATGCTGTTTTTAAAAATACCTTTTTCTGGTGTAATTGTTGTTTGTCCCAATTCAGTATATTTGAAAGGTTTGTTCACTTGGCAAAATGCTGAAGTCTGGTTTTGCATGTAGACTAGGAAGCCTCAATATATGTAGCACATGGGCCAAGGTATCCATTTCCTCCCATTCTTATGTATTTGGAATTATGTGGAATGTTTAGCATCTGTTCATATGGGTTATAGAATTTGTGTGTGTGTGTGTCTGTGTGTTGTCTCTCTCTGTGTGTAAAAGTTAGTTATTTTCCTTTTAGCTGGATGGGAATAAGACTATGTGATCAAGTCTTAAAAATGTGGTTATATAAATTATATATCATAATGCATTACTCCAAGTCTCCATGTAGCTATGGTATATGTGGTACTACATTTATAAAACACTGAGAACTTTTGCTGTAATAGCACAAACCACAGTACAAATCACAAACTCAATCCTCTGACTCTTCATAACATTTTATGCTGTTTTTTCACTGAATGGGATTCTGATAATATTTTCTTTTAATTACTGTTGTCTATTTTCCATGCCATTTTAATAGCAGAGAAAAGCTTTGTCTTATATTACTTCAATATCATGTTTTTGAGGAAGAAGCTATTTCACTTCTCACACATGGAACGTTCTAACAACATATACTGCTCAATGCATAAATTGCATGAGAGATTTCATTATTTCCTCTAGTGACATACAACCCAGGGGTACAATGCTAGACTACCACTGTTTTAGATTACAGTATCTACAGTATTTTTAATATATTTAGGAATTCTCCATTAAATCTATACAGAACATTTTTAGTAATCTGAGCACAAGCTATTAATTTATCAATAAGTGCTAAAGTACATGTGATCATTTTATTTTTTACAATAAAATAAAAATAAACTTCTTAAAGTTTAATTTAAACAATTAAACCAAAAGAAATCTTTGTAGTAGAATAGACTACTTGAGTTCTTTGTAAAAGTATCTTCAAGTAAATCAGTAAGTCCCCTAGTAACAACGGCAAATCCATATTGTCTTTTTGATAGTAATATGACACTGATTTTGATGCCTTTCCCCCCAGGATATTTGTTTTTCAAATTCTCATACTTCACAGTGCTGAGATTTCAGTTCTTGATGATATCCTATGTACACCCCAACCTTGCTTAGGTTTTTCAAGATTTGTCATGAACACTTACATGCTGCCACCTATCAACTTTTCTTCAAGTTAAGGGGTTAACCCACTGTTGAAAGCAATTTCCTGTTCTCCAACTTCTCTCCACTGAGCAAAGCAGAAAAAGGAAGAAATAGGGAAGAAATGGCCTTGCAACGTGCCCCACATTTTGGACCCATCTGTTATAGTCTACAGATATTCCACTAGAAAAGGTAGCTAATGAGATATTTCCCATCTCTTTTTACAGATATACATTTTTATCATTACAATACAATGAACACACAAGACTGGCTAATTCTGAACTAATTTGTTTCAGAATTAAAGACTGACCATCTTTTCAACAAATTTTCTCCAAAAGGGAATGGTGGCAACTTATTGGTAGTTATTGAAAAAATTGAATCCTCATAAGAGGACATAGTTTTTAGACCATGCACAAACCTTTTCTTCAGCTTTGGATTATGCTCTGGATGTTCTCCAAGTCAGCATTAATCTCTTCAATGTTTTCCAATTAATTCATTAATGCAGATTTATGTGACAAAAAAACCCCAAGCCAAACTAGTCTGCTAAGCCATTGTTGCATATGAACTGTGTATCAGAAAGCCTCTCAAAGCGAATGGAATGGAATAGAACATTTATTGTCACTTTAAATGTACACTAATCAATATACATTACAATGAAATTATCCTTCTGTTTTATAGGAATAGCTGAAAATTAATACGGATGTTTATAAAATGGTTTTATCTATTAAAAATGGCCACAGTAGTACAAAGCATAGTTAATATAATTGCAACAGCTATCTGGATCATAAGTGGACTTTTAAATGCAAAGTTTTTGATTCTGATAAGGATCTATTTCTGTCTAACGATCTAAATATGGCAAACCTCAGCAATGAAGTTTGCATCAAGTGAAACAGGACTCATTTCTATTGACTTAAAAAAAACCCTATCAGCAGCAGAAATGAGATGCCACAAGGACTGTTTCATATCAAGCTTAGTTTTTTTTTTTTTAAATGCTAACAGCAGCACTTGGGCTGTTTCTGGAAAAAAAAAAATCCCAGCCTGGAATATAAAGCAGGTTCATGAACTATATCCACAGCATATTTCACTGCCGTTTTTTTGTGGGGGAGACACCTTTCTTATTTTAACTGAGTCAGGAATTCCAACAGATTGGCAAAACAAAAGGCTGGTTGATTGTTACAATGACATACTATATAATAGTTATTAACTGCTTAGTTCTCTATAGCTTGTGTTCTGACCCAACCGGGTTCCCAAAGAGCAAACACAGACAAAGGCAGCAGCCCCCACCTTTTAAGGTTTAATAACGAATTCTGTTCTGAAGGCTGCTTTCCACTAATTAGCTCCGACAAGAAACAGCCTTGCCAAGTTGTTTGTCAAGGCTGCCAAAAACCCAGAGATAAGAACTAATTTACAATATTTTCCAAACATGAACTAAGATGTCCACCAGTTGAGTTTCAGAGCTTCTTTGCTATCTGCAAAGAACGCTTTTCCAAACCTGGCTTTTATCCTCTTGAGGGAGGGGCCATTACCTTGCAGCCTTACTCCTGAGTCGCCTGTGCTGCTCTAATTGTTCTTTCTTCCGAATTTCTCACTCTCCTCAGCCATCTGTACCTCCTGCTGGCTAACCACAACAAGCTTGATACAAAGGCACTATGTAGGCATATGTCAAACATAACTATCCCCCCCACAAACAAATAATAAATAACATTCATATATCCTGCTCTAAACCCAACTTATCATTAGCTTTAGGGTAAGTGCAACAAGTTGCAGTCTCCCCTCAAACACAGACTGGACTGGACACATTCACTGCAGCAAACTATTTATATAGATTTCAAATTAAAATGCACTTTTCGAGATGAAAGTTGGCTGATTCATTCACTGATCACCTTCTTGGTTCATAGGACCATCATGAGAAGAATCATGGGGACAAGGAGTTGTACTCAATTATAATAATCATCAGAAGATGTAGTGTGACAGAAACAGAATCTCTATATTTGCAACCCCCTGAAATCTGTTCCAGGGAACTGGAACATACTGTGGAGCCAATCTGAAAGCCTCACTAAGACATACAACATTCACTGCATGAATGGAAGTCTATTACAGCAACGTTGGAGGTAATCCAATTATGGATGAAGAATTAACATTAGGGCTGTTTTACATGTTAATGACTGTTTTGTGATTTTTTTGTGTTTTAATTTTGTTGTATATGCATTTGTTTTTATTAACTTTTTATTATCATTAACCACCTCAAGTAATGTATTATTAATGTATTAATGTATTCGAAATGAACATATAAATCGATTAAATAAAACATTTTAAGCTAACTGACATAAAGTAGAGACAGGGCTTGCATCTCCAGCATTCCAAGAAAGCATTAAAGTCATTGGCTGAATTCTTCAACTCCTGTCAGGCAGAGAAAGAACATTGAATGCAACTAGCGCCTTAAATTTGTCATCTGGTCAGAGAAGAAACAGGAACAGATGGATGAGGATTTGCAGAGATAACCAAAGAAGAAGGTTTAGCAACAAGATGTGTTTCTTTAGTAGGTATGATATCTAGATTACAGTGGAGGCCCACTGCTGGAGCAAAAGCTTTGTTTCAAAATTAATAATAATTTAAGTTCCTTAATAAGTACCGACTTGCCAAATATCATCCAGAGAGAACTGAGTATTGATGATTCATGTTATGTTCTAAGCAATAAAGGTTGGGAAGCATGCTTCACCCTTTACGTATAGGTAAACAATAATTAACTACATTTATTTTCACAATGGAGAGGTAAGTAGGCATGACTGAAGCAATCACTCCTGATTATCCATAAATGTACAGGGTAGATATCTAAATTACTTAAAGACAAATGGATAGGATCACCTTGAGCACTCCCTAGTGACAGTCTGTTAACAAATATCATCTGCAAAAGACTGTTTGGTTTTGTGGACCCCTTCCCTATTAGACCTCTTGGGTTTTTAACTTACTGTATTTTTCTGTCTATAAGACGCCCCCATGTATAGGATGCCACACTTTTCATACCCAAAATTCAGAAATTAATATTTTAAGAAATCGGAAGTTTCGTTAATGAGGCTAGTTGGCAGAGATAAGGTATCAGCAGTTTCGCAACTGTGGTTCTCCTCTCATAAGATGTCCCTCCATTTTTAGGTAAATATTTTTAAGAAAAAGTACCATCTTATATATGGAAAAATACGGTATGCCAACTGTTATTTTCAAATCACTTCCTTGTAATTCTCTGGTTGGTAGAATGCAAAAGGGAAGTATTTAATTCTAGACATGATTTTTACTTTCAGCTTGGATTATCAGCACAGAGCAATATTTTTCATTTATACAGGTAGTCCTCGACTTACAACAGTTCATTTAGTGGACTGTTCAAAGTTGCAACGGCAATGAAAGTGACTTGTGACCACTTTTCACACTTACAACCTTTGCAGCATCCCCATGATCTTGTGATCAAAATTTCAGATGCTTGGCAACTGGTTCATACTTATGACCGGTGCTTTGTCCTGGGGCTACCTGATCCCCCTTTGCAACCTTCTGACAAGCAAAATAAGCAATGGGAAAGCCACATTCACTTAACAACCAGGTTACTAACTTATCAACTGCAGTGATTCACTTAACAACTAATGCAAGGTAGGTCATAAAATGGGGCAAAACTCACTTAACAAATTTCTCACTTAACAACAGAACACAATTGGACTCAATTGTGGTCATAAGTTGAGAACTACCTGTACTTCTACCTTTTGTTTATTGCAATAGAGTAGCTTGTCTTCAATCCTGAATAAGGAAATAAAATTCAAGCTACGTATTTTGCTGTTCAGTTTTTGTTGAATAGGAAATATTCAATTTTTATACACAAAAGTAATTTGACATTTCTCGTATAAACACATATACTCCAGAGTTAGTTATAAAAATTAACAGATAGAAGCCCCTAGCTGACCTTGCCCGATCCCAGGATCATATGAGGATGGAAGTCTACTGGATAATTCTACAATTTTAATAGTAGATTTGAAAAAGCATCCTAGAAGAATTTTTATAAATCATTTCTAAGAAAATTTAACAACAAATGAATACAACAAGAGTTCATTCTGGTTCGTAGACTCTACTTTTAGAATATCTTTCTGTATACAGAATAGCATCTAGCACCAGAACAGAATTTTCTGATCATTTCCACCAGGAAGTTTTGGAGAAATGGGAACCCTTCAGAGCAGGCATGTCAAACTCATGTCATCACAGTGGTGTCATGTGATGTATCAGGACATTTTCCCCCTTTGCAAAACCAGGTGTGGGCGCGTGGCCAGGGCATGATGCATCTGGCTTGTGGGCTGGGAGTTGGACAGCCCTGCTTTAGAGGAGCCTTTGTTATGCAGGGATATGTGCAAAAGTGAAACATGAGGGAAGTACCCATCCAGGATTCAGTCTATTTCTGTAATATGGATGCAACCTAGTTCAGGTAAAGCTTTTATTGCATAATTGTCCTGCCACATTTACAACATTTTATAACAATCCAGATATTGTTAACTATCATTTTTATTTTATTTTATCATTTTATTGTCAACCCTCATTTTTAACTATCCTATTTCCCCACCAATTAAGTTTTTATTCTTCTTTCTAGAGAAAATCCACCAAGGAAGAAAGATAGAACTGCTACACAATACCTTTTCACCGCAGGAGTAAAAACTCTGTATGTAATCATTCCGTTTTTCTGACCACAGTTGAATAACAATATATTTTCACATCCTGCTGCACTTCACTTGAACCAACAGATATTCAAGCATTTCTATTCTTGTCAACCACTTTTGAAACCAACTCTTTATCATGTGAGGTGAGAAATTACAGAGCACAGAGATTTTCACTTAGGAATACATTTTCCATACTGAGATTATGGCAGCAGTTTTTCCAACTAAAATCTACTGCATAAAACCATATGTCATTTAATATTGAGCACTGTAACAAATTAAAAACCACCTCATTAAATACTTCTGGAAGTAAAAGGGTTGATATTTTTATATTAAATATTGGTTATTCGGTTACTAACTTCTACTGTTACATTAAACAATTAATTACATTATTCAAACAACTTTGCCTACAATGAACTTTTCAAACAGCAGGGCCAGATATTCTAACTAATTGCTTTCAATATTTATGTACAAAACAAACTCCACCCAAGATATCAGCTAAGATTTTTTTAAAGGAACTTCAAACTAGCAATGAGATTTTTTTTTAAATGCCACAATATAATGCAAAAATGCAAAAATTTTCAGGATATCTTAGTAGCTACCATTCTTCTAAATTCTGTGTCAAAATAATTAAATAAATACCAGGCTATAGAAACGAACTAATCTGAACTAATCATTTGTCATAACAGTTTCTGAGTAATTTGTGCTTTTTCTATATTCTATACTTTTTCTCTACTGGATGTTCTAAGACTGGGAATTCTCATTTCCTAGGTTTTGGACAGGATTAAAGGCAACACTGTGCATTAGGCTTCAAAGTGACAGAACAAACCTGTTTGGTTCCCCAAACACATTAGTGAAAATAAATAAGTTTGTGAATGAAGTTTGGAAAACCCGGAAACTGGAAAAACTGGGAAAACTAAGGACTTTGAAAAGATAAGTGAGCCCTTAAGGAAACAAAAGGTGGCATGGGTGTGATCTTGTTGACTGAACATATATTTGTAAAGTTCCTACCTCTCAGCACGGACTTCAGATTCAATTTGGCCTGACGATGCAGCTCCTCTATGCAGGGTGGCCTGGTGGAAGGTAAAAAGACATTCTCCTGCTGATGCCAGGGAGCTGTATAATGAACTGTCCATCTACTCTCTTCATCTAGGTTGGAGACAGCTATAAAAGAGCGGAAAGACAAAAATAAATTTAATGCTGTGTGAAACGCTTAAAAGTTAAAAGAATGAAATAACTTGATCAACTCAGAGAAATGAAAGAAGTAATAACAACCATTTTGATTGCTCACTCTATTTTATATGTAGAAAGGCTTTTATGTGGCTCGCTACAACACAGTCCAACAGCTTGAAAAACAGTGTAAAGCATTTGTATGATGTTTTTTGAAGTATTTTTTTTCAATTTCCTTCTGTGTTTATTTATGGCAGCTAATATGTGACTCCAACTGAAGGCAATAGAGTATCTTATATCTTCCAGAGATAGTTTTTTTTAATGAATTCAATACAATAACATATAACAAAACAACACATTCAGCAGCAAGCAACAACACACTTCAAATGAAACAAAGACTCAAATAATTTCCTAAAGACTCTTCGGAGGACCCAGGACTTAACATAGTACATACAGCTAAGGCCCGGTCTGACCTCAGAGGATATTCATTAGTATTGTACAACTCTAATGGAGTAGGATTGTGATTTGAAAGGATATGTAGCAAAATGTGTTAGTGCAAGAAACGTATTTAGATGACCGGCATCTCTGGAAATCTTAGCATTTTGCGATCCTTCCCAGATTGTCTCTGCATATCTGTGCATGCATAGTCATTTGCTTCCCTGGGCATGGAAGATATCATTCAGGATAGATGTAAAAAAAACTTCTGGAATAGCTTGCTAAAATATTAGAGGAGAGTGCTCAGAATTGTTCAGCCTGACCAAAGAATTCCACAAACAGAAAGAAGGCTCTGACCCAGGCCCTCATTTACATAAACTTCTCATTCATGAAAGGAGTAGACAAGTCAACCTCAGAGGATAAAAGCACAAAAGCAAAAGGAATCTCTTGGGACCCAAGCCATTTAGATAGAACTTTACTATTAAAAACCAGCCCTGAGTGGTATAAAATAAATACCCAATTTAATTATTTAATTAGTTCCACCTTTCCTCACTAAAAAGAATGAAAATACTTACACAAATATCTTCAGAAACAGTGTATATAATAACATGGGACATTCTTCTATTCTCCCACCTTGTCTGACTTTTACAAATTGTTTAAAACTTCCAGAGGGCATTTGGATTGATTCTATCCTTGGTTATAATTTGGCTGTTAGTTTCATTTTACTTTACGTTTTGTAGAGTGTTTATTTGTATACTTTTATTTTATAAAGTGTCTTTGGTGTTTTATATTGTAAACTGCAAGCTCCCTAACAATTAAGTGTTTATAAACGTAATTAAATAATTATAAAATGATTCAAAAGAATAACATATTCCAAGGGCAGATGAATGTAACTTTGAAACAGGCAGAATACTTTAGCCCACCTTAAAAGGTCTGTAAAGAACAGCTTCTCTGAGGTCTCAATGAAACCCAAAGGAGACTTTCTCAAACTAAAGTCTCCTTTGCGTTAGAAGTTTGCCTGCCTCACTTTAACAATCTCCTAAAAGTGTGAGACACACACAGTGGTGTTTCCAATATTGAACACAGCAAGCAGACAGAGAATTAAATAGATCATTAAATCCTCCAGTTAATCTGTTCCCACAATGCTCAAGTGTGTTGGAAACAACATTTGGACTTCCCCCTAGAAAATGCTAGCGGGGCAGTTCTAAATGTAAGGGTTTCTGTGCTGTGAAAGGCTGCTGGATCCTTATCAATTTCTTTTGGCAGGACCTGAGACAGAAATACTTCAATGATTAATTTTCCCAATTCGGAATCAGAGAGGGTAGAGGCAGACATTTTTCTAGTTAGAACAGGCAGATGAAGAAATGAGGACAGAAACTTCAGGATAATAGATTGGGAGGCAATCCTTTTCCATATCTCAGTACTTAGTTAATGTATCTCTCCCCCCCCCCCCCCCCCAAAAGGTTCTAGACCATTGGTGATATGCTACCGGTTCGGACCAGTTCGGCCAAGCTGGCAGTAAAAATAACTACTGGTTCAGCTGAACTGGCAGTAAAAAAAACCCTACTGGTACGGCCGAACCAGTAGTAGAAAAAACTACCGGTTCCTCCGACGATCAGGTGAGAGGATAAAAGAAGCGACAAGTGCATGGGCGGTTAGGAGTATCACTCCTAGCTTTTGTTTCTTCATCCTCTCAGCTGATTGGGGTGTTAGGGGCGTGCAGGCACGCACAATCACCTACCAAACTGGTAGCGACCAAGGTAGGAACCTACTACTGTTCTGGACAGCCCATAATTACTAGAACTCAGCCTATATGACTGCCAGGTAGAGCCAGGAAAACAGCGCAAATGATATTTCCATTTAGGCTTGCCACAGAAACAGAACATTGCCAATGGAAATGGATTGCATAAAGCACTTATGGAAAGGGATAGCATGATCAAATAATAAATTACAGGTGACCCTCAATTTACAACCATTTGTTTACAGTTCTTTAAAAAGTGCTTATGATTATTCATTGCACTTATGACTGTCACAGATCCCCATGTTCATGTGATAAAAATTTTGGTGCTTGGCAACAGGAATGCGTTTATGACGGTTGCAGCAACCTGAGGTCATGATCTCTATTTCCAAGCTTCCCAGGCAGCTTCCAACAACCAAAGTCAATGAAGGAAACCTGGTTCACTTAATGACTACATGATTCCCTTAAGAACTGTTAATAATAGTTCCAAAAAGGTTGTAAAATTGGGCACAACTCACTAAATAAACTGACTTGATTAGCAATGGAAATTCTGGTCACAATTGTGAACGTAAGTCAAGGGCTACTTGCAAAAGGATACTGCTTATGTATTGATTTACAAATACTATATTTTCTTTGTAAATATAGCATTGGATAGACGGAATTCTGCTTTCATATGGTCTTCACTTAAGATAAATTCCGGAATTCCTTGTTTCCTTGGATGACAGTATAGTGCTTTTCACAAATAGTGGAGCCCAACTCCAGACCTGCACAAGTCCACTAAAAAAATGTAGGTATGCCCTTTACAAAGATAAAAAAGTTGATATAAATTGTAATTTTGTGAAGGAGTTATTAGACTCTGTGTGTATGCGTGTGTGTTTTGTGTGCGCGCTCAAATAAGTGAATAAAATTTTTATAAAGGCGCTTTTTCAAGAGGTAACTGCACTTTGTTTTTCTTTGAAGACGTTTCGCTTCTCACCCCAAAAGCTGAAAAAGCTTCTTGGATGAGAAGCAAAAGGTCTTAAAGAAAAACAAGAAAGTTTAGTTGCCTCTTGAAAAAGCAACACCTTTAGGTTGGATGGTATTCCTCTTAAGAGATGCAAAACTCAGCACCCATCTTTTATTAGATTTTATTAACAAAGCACAAACTGCTATGTAACCACAGGTAGTCCTTGACTTGTTTTTCACACTTATGACCATTGCAGCATCCCCATGGTTACATGATCAAAATTCAGAAGGCATGGCAACTGATTCATATTTATGATGGTTGCAGTATCCCGGGGTCATGTTTTCGCGACCTTCTGAAAAGCAAATCAATGGGGGGAAGCCAGATTTGCTTAACAACCATGTTACAAGCTTAACACCTGCAATGATTCACTTAACAACTGTGGCAGGAAAGGTCGTAAAATGGAGGCAAACTCGCCTAACAAATGTCTCACTTAGCAATACAAATTTTGCCCTCAGTTGTGGTTGTAAGTTGAGGATTATCTGTGTAATGGAATATGTGCTGAGAAGTTATGTAGGTAAATAATAACACCATTAGTGGGGAAATTGCATTTTTTTTCACCACAAATTAACCAACTGTGATAAATGACCTTACAGAAAAAAAAGTCTTCCCTTTTGATGTGGCTACAGTATTTCGGCCAGCCTATGAATACGACCGGTTTGCCCTTAGAGTTTTTCATGCACATCTTACTAATGGGAGTCAGCAAGATCTGCTTGAGGAATTCTAAGGTCATCCTCATTTATTACACCATATATTACAAGGGCCATCTCATGCAGCCAGGTAGATCATGCTGACACAATGCTTGACTGCCTTCTTAAGCCTTGCTAAATAAACCCCAGCCCCCCCTCCCATCACCACCACCCCAAAAAATAATGAACAGAAAGATGGGCCATCTACCTGACACTTCGATCACTTTCAATCTTTACCTAGAATGGATGAAATGACAGGGAGAGAGAAAACAAGCGGGAGAGAAAAATCACAGGTGCTGAATACAGAATTAAATGAGATTTGCCATATAAATGCTGAGAGCAGACTATTGCCACCAAGTTCCTTTTGAGTTAAATGCAGAATAGCTTTATTTAAAAAAAATACATACGTATGCATATTACTAGCAAGTTAAAACCATTTGTGACCTTAAATAAGGGCTGCCTGGACTGAAACCCTTGAAACACCTATGACAAGTTCGGAGAGAGCAACGAAACAAAGCAAAGCAAAGGGGTCCTGCAATAGTTTTGCATAAGCACGGGGCTGAAAGGGCTATATAAGGCTTCAGCTGGCTAAACATCTCTATACAATCAACTCTTGCTTGTATCAAGTTTCTTTCAGGATTACTATGGCTGGGTTGGATCAAAAAGCGTTTCTCCTTTCTCCGTGGGTAATTCAGGCACACAAAAGAAAACAAGGAAGCGGCAATTCAAAACTTTACAAGCTCAACAAAAGCTAGGGCAGGTGCTTAGAGCACCACTTTAATAAGCTGCCTCCACACAATATCAAAGCACAGGACACTAAACAATGCTATGTACAGTTGGAGAAATAAGAGCAGGTTATGCAATGTTTTCATAATGCTTCTGCCAAAAATCTAAACAGTTTTAAAAAACACACACACCATGCCTACTTACTCTTTTTCTTGAAAAACTGTATTAAGGCTTTGAGCTTTGTATTGATAAGCACCCCCATTTCAGTAGGAAATGCCTTGCTCACTCCAGGTTTCCATAGAGAGCGAGAAGTATCGTGCAGAAACTAAATTCCAGAGCTTCCCCAACAGTTCTTACAATTTCTGCTAACTTTGGTCATCCTTACACCACCACTTTCCTCGTT